GTCTTCCAGATCGTTCCAGTTCACACCGTGGGGGGGGGGGGGGTGGTTCCAACTGCACTGGTACCTTGTGTCCTAGGGGAGATTGAAGGAAAAGTCAGGGAATCAATTCAGACATTTTATGGAATGCACTGGAAACAATATGTGAACTGCTTACCATATGGTGCCTCATCAAATGACACAAATGACCTGGGAGATGGCAGAGCTTGGATATCAGAAACACTCTGATTCAGGGAGTTCTTAGATTCTGCTGGATGGATCTCACCTGCAATCATCACAATATTTAATAGCAAAACATGGTTCACCAATACCACCTTTTCATGACAATGATTACATGATTTGTCCTGAACCATGCTGAATGATGTAACTGGGGAAGGTAATGCTATATTAATGGAAAAGATTGCCTTGTCGTCTACAAATGTGATATCAGCCGATTAAGAAGGGAAGAATCTGTGCTTTGAATAATTTCTCAATTGCTTGCCATTTTTTATTTTTCTATAAACTCTGTGACACTCATATATTTATGAGAACAAAAAATGTTCTTTTTAGTTATTCACCAGAAAGCCCTACTTGAGAATGGTCCTAAATATTGTGAAAATCACCAGTTGTATGTAAATCCTGTTTTTTTTTAAATATAATTCATGAATTTGATCCTATTTATATTGTGCTTTGAAGTGATGCATGGGACATGATGACAATCCATGGGAAATTTCACTGATGCCTATGATTTCTTTTCAGATGTAGCCTCCATGTCATTCAGACCACAGTCAACTCCCAAGAAGAATCCCTGCAGGAAGACCAGAGAATATCGCTTTGAATGCTGTGTTGGAAGGATGACAATTGCTGATTTGCACGACATTGAAGATCAGCTGGAAAGGATTACCAAGAAGGAAAAAGAAAAGTATATAATGGATTTGATTCACAGAAATTCATCCAGGAGTAACCAAACTTTCTCATTGAAAGGTGTAACACTCTGTAAACTGTGCTGCTTAAGCCTGTTCAACATCACAAATCTGGCTTGGAAGAAGTTACAGAGAAGAATAGTTTTCACTCAATACTTGACTCAATGACTTTGCTCAATAGCTTTGACCCCATCCATAGCAAAACATTCCATGTTAAGCAGCATCATTCATGCTGAGATGTTTCCCATGAATCCAAACTATGCCATTGGTTGATTTGGGCTATGGTTACCTAGATTTCTTACAAGATTTCCTATTACAGAATCTTGCAGAGGTATTGAAAAAGTTTTGATTCAAAAATGAAATTTGAATTTTATTAGCTCTGCATAACCCTGTAAATACTCTCTGCAACTGACAAAGCAACCTAAAAGGTGAAATCAGCTCATGCTCAAACTGAAATACTAGCAGGTTCTTCAGAGGAAATAATATTTGATATGCTGCTGCATTAGTAGGTGGTCTAATAATGTGTTCTGTCTTGTCCTCAGACAACTCCACCTGTTGACACATTTACTTCCCTGGTACATCCTGACTGGGAAAGGGCAGGATTGAAAAAAGTGAAAACCTCATTACCTCACTACTTTCCAAGAATGCCAGCGGATAAGATTGAAGCATGGAAGATGTTCTCCCTCGATACTCTTGAACTGGTGAAGTTTTCAAGTCCTGAAGTATGCCTATGCATCATTTGAAGATGTATCAGCTTGCTAACAGTTGATATGTGTATTTGTTTCAGGAAGCCACTCCGTACATCTGAACTCTCGTGGAACACAAGAGGACATTGGCCACACCAGGAATGACTCCAACCACGCTGAACTTCCTAAGGGGCATGGAGAACCAGTTGCTCAGACCTCTGGAGCAGGTAAAAAATGTTTATATACATAAAATCCAAGTATAGAAGCCCATATTGGCTTTATTATCTGCATGGCCATATCCATGGCAATGTGGAAGAATTGAGGAGCATTTTTATTGGAGTATTAGAAGTGCCAAAGAGAAGTCTATGGCTTCTCTTATTTCACTATTAATGCAATGATCCCAAGTCAAAAGTTGTGCTTAAAGTTGTATATGGGCTTCAGATAGATTTTTTTGCAAGAAACGAGAAAAAAGCATCCAATGCCTGATGAGGCAACAGTGCAACTGTCTGTATATCATTCTTTCTATTGTACTGTGTTTATTTTAGCAGGCTATCATCGGTTCGGTGGGAAGCCGCAGGCAGGGGGCATGTAGTGGGACTGAAGATCTCCAGCCAGGAATGCTCGCAGCCGTCTATACATATGATGAGGTATCCCGTCCTTGGTTGGGAGAGGTTCAGGCAATAGAAGATGGCGATACAGTGAAGATCCACTGGTATATGGGAGGCTATCCCAAATCGTGGAAGCCCATGTCAGGAACCAACAGCACGTCATCTGTTCATAGTGAATCCCTTCTATTATGGGGGTTTACACTCACTGAGAAAAGTCAGCAACTGACGAGTGAAACAGCTGCAGAACTGAAGTGGCTCTATCAAGAAACAGATAACCGGATGACGATCCAACAAGACCGCATCTCAGAGGAAGTATAGATTTAAATTATTCATGGTCAGTTATGTGAAGTATTACATTTTCTCCTTTTTAATAAGAATTTGTATTTTGGGAAACTTTTAAAGAAGCAAAACTACCGTTTTGTTCATAGAGATTGTTTCATTGAGTTGCATTCTTGAATAAGTAGCTGTAATAAAAATAAGAATACACGGCTGGCAAGCTTTGAGGAAACACTGTCAATGATTATTTCTTTTTTTCATGCATTCTGTTTTTCCTTCCTTCCAGGAAATATCTGCTTACACACAAGGAAGGACAGTGAGGAGGCTCCCAAGGGAGGAAGGATTCTGTTAGCAATTTTCTCCAGGACGGAGGCGAGACTAATTCTTAGTCAGTCATGTATTAAACCCCCTACTAAATCTAACTGAAGCATTGGATCATAGCTTTGTCCTTTCTCACCTCCAGGAATTCCTGCCCCTTCGGAGATCAGCAGAGGATGCATAAGGACACTCTTCTAATGCTTCTCAGCAGGGATGCATTCACCATATCGTGCTCTCCCATGGACATGAATAATAGCATCTTCCAGGTCAGTTCTGTATGTCATGTATGAGATGACTGAGTGAATGCCTTTAAGTGCAATCTAAAATTAAGAAATTATGTATAATTCCTACCTATCCCTCATCTGCCAGGTGATGATTTCATGGAGATGGAAGGTGGAGCTTGCCTACACCCAGCTTTAACCTTATTCCTGGAAAATGTGGAAGGTGGATCACATCTCATCGTGCATCACATCTCATCTGAACTTCCAAAATGTCGAAGACTTATGGAACATTTTGAACTTGTTTCAAGATATTGCAGTGTGACTCATATACATTTTTTGTTTTTCATCCTGTATGCATCATATATAGTATAATACCTTGCATTGAGTTTGAGTTTGTAGTGAACATCCTGTTTCCAGGATGAAATGCTTTAATAAGCCTCAGTATTGAGTACTTGATGATTTTAATTGAAGTTCGGTGCTCCTCACTTTTCCAGTAAGTAATGTTTTCAGGCGTCCCAAATTGTTGATTTGAAGAATTCATTTTGTTTGTATGATCTCAGACAATAAATTGTTATATATGTGCTCTTAAAAGATTATACCTGTGTTTGTCTGAACTCCAACAAATGGATTAGGAAGAACTCTGCCTATAAAATGAATCCATCATTCTGGAATAGTCTTACCGATGAAAAAAGCAAGAGAGTAATCTCCAACATTCAAATATCGACCAAAGGAAATGCCTGCCATTTGGCACCCATTACCTTTGGTCTGGAGCATGCGCACTGCCATGACCTGGACCAAAGGGAATACCTGCCACTTGGCACCAATTCCCTTCGGTCTGGAGCATGCGCACTGCCATTCTCCAGATCGAAAGAAATTGATACCAAATGGCAGATTCCCATTGGTCTATTGCATACTCGTCCCTATCATTAGAACAGGTTGGATTTTTGGTCAACAGAAAAAAAACTTTCAAGATGGTCGCCCCCAAGCACCTTCACACTGCCATTCTCAAGTAGTATCTATGGGATTAATTAGTAATTTCCCTCTTTTCCAAGCGGACATTACTATATAAGGAATGGAGATGGTATCCATGACAATTCACATGGACCACATCATGTTTTTGGCAGGAAGGTAGGACAAAAGCCTGAGTCGGCCAAATAAGAATCAAACAGGTACCATATGCCTAATTGAAATATTAAAACCTTAATTGAAACTTGTTCATGTGTTTCTTCTTTTTGCTTGCGGGAAAAAAATTTGTATTTGGAAAAGAGAAACACCCATAAGAGATGTGCTTTGAGGAGACGCAAACCAAAAGTTGAATTTCTCCTTGAATCAACATCACGTCCGTTATGCGTGCGCCAACTTCTATTTTTCTATTTCTGCCCGATTCACTGGGATATGAAAAATTCTGTGAAAACGTTACGTCCCCAGAAATATGCCCCCAAAAGATTTTGGAAACTTGACACTTGACATTTGCGCTCAATGCGTCAGCAGTCCCGTTCTTGTCAGGATTCAAATTTCCATGTCTCTCCGTTTCAATGAAGCAAAGAAAACTCGTTGAAAAATTGAAAATATGTTTCCCGAAAACGTATGCCCCTATGACATGTATCACCAAAGTTGAATTTTTCCTGAACTCAGCATGAGAATAGCGACTTATGTCAGTCAGTCAGCTACTCACGGTCCTCCAGATATAATAAATGTATACTTTTTTCTTTACTCACCCATTTTGAAGTTCTTTTTTGGCAAGTTAAAACTTGATAGCGCCCTCTCCTTTCCTGGATGGAGAAAATACGCCTTTTGCAATATATGTGGCTTTAAGCCTTTTAACCGAAAAGTATATTTTTAAAAAATCGAAATCAATGTCAACCAACCGAAATTAAAACCGAACTGCATGCCCACAAACTTTCACCCTTACACGTTTGCCCTTTTCGCGGGTGAAAAAATATATTTGGAAACGCCGAAGCCCCCACAAGCTATGCCAGGAGGGGATGCACCATGAAAGCTGAATACTCCCTCACCTCAAGAATATTATGTCACTTGTGCGTGTGCCAAGTTTCAACTTCCATTTCTGTCCAATTCGCCCTGACAAATTTTTTTTAAACATCCTCCCTCGAAAAAATATTCAGGGGATGTATCGAGACTTAACATTTTCCTTTAACTCCTTGTCTCAGTTGTCACATTCATGCAAAGTTTCAGCTTTCCATGTTCATCAGTTTAAGTGATGCAAAAAAAATATTTGAAAACATGTCCCTTTCAAATCGGTGCCCCCTGGGCATTTACTTCCAAAGTCTCAATTTTTCTGCATTCAGCATCCCAATAGGAAGTTATGCACCAAGTTTTATCTTTCCACACCAGATCAATATGCAAGGGCAAAAAAATTCTTGCAAACGTCGCCGCACAAAAATATGCCCTCAAGGCATGGATCTGAAATTTTACATTTTTCCTGAAGTCATCGTCTCGGTAGGCACGTCCATGCCTAGTCTCAGCTGTCCATGTCTCTCCGTTTTACTCGAGCAAAAATAATGTTAGGGTGGGGAATGAGTAACGGGACATGGAAGGCAAAAAAAGCTAAACGAAAGCCTATGAATGGCCAGGAATTGAAGCCGGACCTTCTGATTGCCGGTCAGATATGCTACCGCTACACCACCGTACCCAGCACAACCAGTTGATTCAGTTGAACAACTCTGAATGACATCCTCAACTGTCAAAAAATATATTTAATAAAAACTTTTCCCCCCAAAATTTGTACCCCCAAGGCACGTACCTAAAAAGTCGGATTTTTTTCTGAACTCTTCATCCCAAAAGGTACATGTGTACCAAGTTTCAAAATTCTAACCCTTATAGAACATGGTTAGAATTAGCGTCAGTCAGTCAATCACGATCGTCTATATATATTACATGAAAGTAGAATTATTTCTTTACTCAGCTATTCATCATGTACTTCTTTGCCAAGTTTAAACTTTCCAGCACACTCCGTTTTTGCTCGATCAGAAAATTCATGGAAAATTTGGAAAATATGTGCCCTCTGGCGTTTTAACTGGAAAGTACCATTTTTACCAAAATCAGACCATAGTGAACTACATGCCCACAAAGTTTCAATATTATACGTTTGCCCTTTTCG